GAGATCGCATGAGCGTTAGCAGCTTTGACGCGTAGGTTGGGTTACTTGAAGGTACTTCTCGAGAGTGGTCTCTCGGGTGTGCTCTTGGCAGTTTTCTTGGTGGATCTCTTGGCGTGCTTGTCGGCTGTTGTTGCGGTGGCCGCTGAGGTGGATCACGTACAGGATGAACAATCTCAAGGTTTGGAGACGGTTCATTGGGGCGTGGTTTTCTTCTATGGATGAGCTCATGCCGACACATTTTTGCAGCAGCTTTACTTTGCGGGTAGCCTGAATATGAGGCAGCGTGATTACCTGCACTGTTTGCACACTTAGGCTGAAGAACTGACTTGCACTCCTTATGATGGTGTTCTTCTGAGCAGATCTTACACCAGCGTGTGTTACGGCAACTTTTCGCCATGTGTCGAATCACTGGCAGTTATAGCACCGAAGTGCTGGACCAAGATATTCTTCCACTGGGTGACTGGTGAATCCTGAAGTAGATTCTTCCTGGAATAGGGCGGTCATCTCGAAAAGTCAGAATCACTGAGTGAAGTGGACGCGACGTTATTCCTCCATCTTCCTGGCGGTAGTATTTTATTTGCCGTCGTGCCGATATAACCCCTGCATCTCTCAAGTACTCTAGAAGTTGTTCATCTGAATACTGCAGAGGAACATGTTTTACTTTCTCAACGTTCCGAGTGTATGACTCTGGGATGAAAGGCTTAACTTCCAGGCCAGCTACATTTGGAAGCATCAGAATAGCTCGCCTTGGCTATTCTCCAGTTCTGGTTGGTTTCCCACACTACGCACGTGTTAGATGGTATTGGAAGAATCATGTCGTGGGTCCAGCTGTCGCATGATGTTCATAATACTCATGTGATTTATTCCACGTGGCTTTGGAGGAAGCATGTCCCGTGGCAGATTGGTACGTGATTCAAGTCCGCCCAACAGTTAGCTTCATAGTAAAAAAGTGATGGATCCCACAAATTATGCTGATAGATTTCATGGAAATCATTCGGCAACTTGACATCATTTGCTAGATTTATTAGTTTTGGCGAACTTACTAGCTTGGGTAACTTTATTAGAGCCCTCGTTTGTCCTGAAATTCATTTCTTGTGAAATCACCACCGTTTTCACTTCTAGAGCGAAGCTGCAACTGCAAGCGGAGTTAGAGTTTTACTTAGCTTGTGCTCAGCTATTGATTGTAATGTCAAATTTTCGTAAAGAGCCTATATTTTCACTACAGGTAGTACAATTCATAGTTCATTTTGCAAGTCATGAATCTCACTGAATGCTATGAAGGCGCAATTTATTGATGAAAGAAAAACAATAGTTGCGGGCATTGCAACTGAAAATCAGAAATTATTTGAACCACGAAATCATTCTGTGCATCACAAAGTCCAATAAAAAAAGACTTCTCTTGTCACTTTTTATTGATGCAATTGTTGTAAATCTTGCACCACAGTTAGTCTTTCTAAATGCAATTTTCATTTTCCAATTTGTTGCAAACAAAAAACTTCTTATTTCTTCTGTTATAACTTAACGATTCTTACTAATATTATCTGGTACTTTGCCGCCCAAAAGCGAGATATGATGGTGCGCTATTGTGTGGTGGTTAACCCCAGTAATTTTCACCCACTGGTGTTCAATAACGTGCGCTGAACAATATTCTCTGGTGGCGTTCCTCGTCTTTCTGTCCTTTCTGTCGCACTTAGTGACGCAAGAATGGGGACCAGTGAAAGAACTATCAGTTGTGGATCACCTCGTACGCTTCAATGCTATGCAGCCGCATCCCATCCATTCTTGTTTGTCTCGCTTGACTACCACGCCAGATAAAGAGTATCCCTTCAGTTTGTGTGTTTGCGACTGCGCAAATACAGGTAACGGCCTGCTGCTGACAAGCGCGAATTCCCGATGCGTTCTACAATAAGTGCTGCCATTGTACATGTTCTTTTAAGGAATGAGGGGCGAGGAGGAATTATCACATCTGGAAAGGACAGCCAAGGCGACTAATGAACCACTGCCATCTTCATGAACGAGGGATGGTTGAGCGCAAGTGGCGTAGCCAGGAGCTTTTTCTGGGTGGGCATCTTCTACATATCGAGGAGGGCGCCCCCTACATTGTCGATTTTCTATGTGTACGTCATTGCAAAAAAATATTTAGTGAGGGAAGGGGGAGCACGGGCCTATTGTGTTGCCCACCTTATACGCCCCTGGTTGGGCACCCTTTAAGGATCAATGCAGAGCACTGTTTAGTTGACTCAACATACGTCTACTGCACAATGCGCAGTGCTTTATTGTTCAATGCACATTGCTTAGGAAGCACTGTGCAGTAGATTATCCGCACTAACTCCGTTCATGTTTGTGCAATATCGCGCTCACTGTTTGGCTCAAGCAGATTTGTACTATTTGCACAATGCCCCAGATAATACAAAACTCCACAAGATTATTTGCCGTTAGTGGATGTGGTTAAATGTGGTGCAAAACGATATAACGAATTGCTCTTCCTTTGAACAAGGGCGAAACCATGGGCTTTCAGGGATGCAGCTTTATTCCGTGTCTTTCTTCATGCAAGAAGAAGTCTATATTTTGGCCACAGGAAGCGACAAGAAACCTAACGTGCTACGCCGCAACTTTATTGCCAAAGGCTTCTCTGCAACGTCAGCCTTTAGGCCTGACGCGCAGTGGACGTATGTTGCTCATTGTGTGGATAACCTTGCATTTTCGATGGAGTGGAAAATGCTGTAGGCCCGTGTGCTCAGTTTCGGAGCATATTAAAGAACCCCAAGTGGTCGAAATTTCCGGAGCCCTCTACTACAGCCTCTCTCTTAATCATGTGGTGGTTTTGGGACGTGGTGAGCACCTTTTGGTTGTCATTGTGCATGCACGCAATGTTTATTTCACACGTCATCGAAACCACCACCGGTAGCAGAGTTCATAATTCGCGCGGTTGTGCCGTCACACTTTCCTTCATGCATCTTTGTACCTGCTGCGCAATGCGCTAGATCTTAGATATTGTATGATTGATTGATATGTGAGGTTTCACGCCTCAAATCCACCATATGAATATGAGTGACGCCATAGTGGAGAGCTCCAGTAATTCGGACCACCTGGGGTTCTCAGAGCACACGGGCCTACAAAAATTTCGCCTCCATCGAAAATGCAGACTCCGGCGCCGGGATTCGATCCTGCGACCTGCGGGTCAGCAGCCGAGTACCTTAGCCACTATACCACCGTAGCGGGGCGCGCCAGAGCTTAGAAAGCTCTACAATGTTATTTGCCACAAACGAACGTGGTTTATCTAACACAGTGAAACGATGTGGCTACGTTTTCAATTTGTTTGAGCTGGGATGAGACCAGTCGAATTGCATTCCTTTGAATTTAAGGGATGTCTCGGATAAGGCAATGTCCACGAGAAGCTTACACGTTGTGACAAGACGTGAGAAGGGAGCTAACGTGTTGCATCCCATGGCAGCAGACACACTGCTTGGCGCCGCGAATGCAGCTGCAGACAGCGCACCTGGTGAACTATAGAGGCATCGAGCACCCCCTTGAACCACCACTCCACTCATTGTGCAGTCCATGCCGCCTTTGCGGTGCTTCGACAGACACGCTCGTGAAGATTGTCTTCGACGGTCCACCCAATCACGTGTTTTGATACTCCATATTTGCATGCATTCTCTGATTTATTGGGACGAGAACCAAACTTTCGCTGTGCGCCGAGTAGTGAAATGCGCTTTATCGCTTGTGAGCGTCTTGAGTGCAGTGTAGAATAGGCGAGGGGATGATTGGGGTAATATTCGACACTGAGCGTTTGCGTCGGTACCCTCTGAAGCAATACGATATGCAAGAATATAATAGTGATGCCAGTTTTCCCGGTGAGCCATGTCTTCTCGTTAGAAACCGGGATAATGTTTCGAAGTTCACGCCTGATTTTTGACAATCCAGTGTTCCTGCGGCCCGGTTTGATTGATTGATTGATATGTGGGGTTTAACGTCCCAAAATTACTATTTGATTATGAGAGACTCCTTAGTGGAGGACTCTGGAAATTTCGACCACCTGGGGTTCTTTAACGTGCACCCAAATCTGAATACACGGGCCTACAACATTTCCGCCTCCATCGGAAATGCAGCCGCCACAGCCGGGATTTGATCCCGCGACCTGCGGGTCAGCAGCCGAGTACCTTAGCCACTAGACCACCGTGGCGGGGCGTTCCTGCGGCCCGGTATCTTTTGTGCGCGCGTTGTGCCTAGAGTTACTCATGTTAACGGTGACCACATTGCTAAGCTACCTACAGCGCTACAATTAGCATGTCTGTATACGTTACACTTCGCGGTTTTGTGACGTGTCATTGGGGCCGTCGGATATATGTGGATTGTGAAGCGCAGTAAAAAAAAACGACCGAAAACATTGGAAAGCAGGAAGTGACTGCTAGATCATTTTCTTTATTCCTCAAGCGAAGTCTGGTTCAGTAGGGCTCAGATGGCGACTTCGACCAATGACGTCCCGGACTAGGGATATCGAACACCCCGGTGGAGATGGGCTATCGCATTGCCCACCTAAATGAAAGTATTTCCTCCTCCCCCTCCTTGAGCACGCACAAACTCGGCGCCAATCTTCTTTTTGGCGTGAAGGCGAGAGAGACACGCCGGGCATCGTCTGTTACCGCGCATGACAGATAGTGTATTGGAGCACAAGGCGAAACGTAGCGCTTTCAGTGTGCCTGCACTAACGAAGCCGGGTATATTCCGCTCTGCTTTTTGGGGTCTCGGTTCTCAGCAAGAACGGCTGTTCTCTGGCGGCTAAGTGGCACACACTTCTACTCGACACCGGAAACAATTCAATATTTAGGCTTGAAAAATTCGTGTGAAGCCCAGTAAGACCCAATATAAATGTTTTTTAATGTTAGCTGTAACTCACTATATCAAAGCTACTACTGAAATGCATTATGTGTCTGCGTGTGTGTGCGTGCGTGCATGCGTTTGGGAAGTTGCTGCCTGATTGAGGTACTCGTTGACTTAAACAAACAAGAAAAACCTCTCACATTTATTATTCCGTCTTGCAGAAACAATTACACAGGCATAAGTCACAAGGATTAACTAGGTTGTGAATACAGGGCAGCGTAACTTACACAACCTACTAAAAGGCTTTCTTTACTAGTCAGTGAAATATTATGAATATATAGTTATATATGCAATGCTTACTTGTAATAAAGATATCATTCATGTGAAGAATAAAGATGCAAGCGTGGTGGGCGAACGGCTGAAAAGTGAGAAAGCTACTATTCTACAAAAAAAATGCAAAAAGTAAATGTAAATTCAATGCCACAACCCCAAAAAGATATGATTTGGCAGCACAAAGCCACAATAGAAAACAAAGAATATTACTGTACATCAAATGTTCTTTTTTCGATTTTAGTTCAGAGTACTCATAGGTAAAGGGCAAACCATGACCAGCGAATCGACACATCTGAAATACCTAGTCACATCGTGTACCCTTAAGGATTTGGCGGCGCGTAAATTTAGGTCTCTTAAATGCGGCGTCATTCATGTGTGTTGTAATATTCAAAAAAAAAGAAGTAAGAACTGCGTCTTACTCAGAGCCTCTCTCAGATTCCAACTTCGAAAAATTTTGCCAAATGTCACGTTTTTGTGTTCAACCGCTAAAAAGAAGTAAGTCATGCAAATATATCGCAAATAACGATGCGTATTAGGCTACCCTTTGGACGCTGTACATAATATCAACATCAAACTCTGCGATTCTTTCTAGCGACAATCAAAGTACCTCCCACGTGATGCGCAGAGTGTCGTTGTGGACATATCCGTCTTTTTTCAGGTCTCCAAGATCAAATGCCTCAAACCAAGCGAATTGGTTACTTCCTAAAGCTGACTTCTCAAGCGCTTTCATAGTGCGGCACGAGTTGTGTACTACCTCTTTATCTTCGCCCTTATCAGGATGTAGGATAGTAAAACGTATTTTGTGCTGAAATGGCCATGTAATGTGATCGTCATGATCCCCTTTGTTCAGTTTAAGCCTCATCCCAAGTAACACGTTTTCTCCACTTTTTTTCAGCATAACGCCAGGTGATATATTGTAACCACGAAGATATACCCGTTTTTTGTGGACATACTCGCTCGCGCTGTCTTTCAACGCCTTAGCCTGAAGCGAACCTATTCCTGGAACAAAAAAGTCACAACGCGTTTCATTTCTGTCAGCGTGTGCGAGAGCTCTCTCCTGCATCTCAAGCATTCTCTTCGTACTTGCACCTGCATCTTTTTTCACACCTTCGATTGCCACTCTAACTTGATTAAGCTGTCCATTTTGCTTTTTTATCGCGCTCATTCCACCGCTGACCACATCACGTAGTGTGTTGACGCCATTCAACAGGTGATGTGCCGCGCCACTGATTTCTCCCACAGGAGCAATACCTTGCCTCACCGGTTCCATGAGAGAGTCCACACTTTGAGAGACCTCACTTAGCCTGCTGATAAGAGTGCCATTTTCTCCACATGCTCTCTCTAGATGCTCCTTAATTTCGTGCGCCTGTTCTTGCACTGCTTTCCGGACACCTTCTATGATTTCGGCCACCGCAGCGTGGCCCAGCTTTTCCTCGCACTCCATTTCTTGAGGTGCTGCATGGCCATTGCATGAAGCTCTCGCATGTTCGCCCATGTCGCGGCACAAAACCGTCGCCGAGCATCTTGGGCAGATTGTGATGTGGTATTCACATTCCCGGTGGAAGTGCTTGTGGACTTCTGAGGCAGCCATCACGAGTGTGCAACCATGTTGCTGGTTCCAGCATTTAACCTGCATTAGAGAGGAAAACAGGTCTACCCAAAAATTCCCGAGAAAAAATAGCTTAAACTAGTATATATATATATGTATGTATGTATGTATGTATGTATGTATGTGCGTGTGTGCGTGTGTGCGTGTGTGCGTGTGTGCGTGTGCGCGTGTGCGCGTGTGCGCGTGTGCGTGCGTGCGTGCGTGCGTGCGTGCGTGCGTGCGTGCGTGCGTGCGTGCGTGCGTGCGTGCGTGCGTGCGTGCGTGCGTGTGTGCGTGTGTGCGTGCGTGCGTGCGTGCGTGCGTGCGTGCGTGCGTGTGTGCGTGCGTGTGTGCGTGTGTGTGTGTGTGTGTGTGTGTGCGTGCGTGCGTGCGTGCGTGCGTGCGTGCGTGTGTGCGTGCGTGCGTGCGTGCGTGTGTGTGTGTGTGTGTGTGTGTGTGTGTGAGGGAAAGAAGTGTGTACCTAAGGGCTCGTTTTTCCTTGTTTTGACACAATATTATGAGATATAACAGACATTATAACCAAGGAATGTATAGGGGAAGTTATTAGAACAAATAGAATGTAAATAAGAAGAAAGAAAAGAGGGTGAAACAATAACCAGCCGTGAGCAGGAATAGAACCTACGACTTTCGAATAACGCGTTCGATGCTCTAACCACTGAGCTATCACAGCGGCCTTCTCTCCACCCACTTTTTGGGGTTTATATGTGAATTTAGAAGTGGGAGTGTCAGTCAGCGCCCTCTGTAGCCAAGCGGCGAGTGTGAAACATTCTTTTATGCGCATGTGTCACGTCACGTAGCACGTGAACTTATTACGAGCGGGCAGCTGACCAATAGTCCCTCGTATACAACCTAATGACACCGAGTCTGCCAGTACGAGACCCTCGTTAATGAATAAGGGAAAGAAGTGTGTACCTAAGGGCTCGTTTTTCCATGTTTTGACACAATATTATGAGATCTAACAGACAATATAGCCAAGGAATGTATTGGGGAAGTGATTAGAACAAATAGAATGTAAATAAGAATGTGTGCGTGTGTGTGTGCATGTGTGTGCGCGCGCGTGTGTGTGCGCGCGTGTGTGTGTGCGCGTGTGCTGTGTGTGCGTGCGCGCGCGTGCGTGCGCGTGTTGAGTGGACAAACGTACGAAAAAACCGTTGGCATTACCAACGTTTTCAATACTAGCACAAACAGCGGTAGGCATGTAAATTATGCCGTACATGACTTCAATGTCATGAGTACCAAGTTTGCGATAGACATTTGTGTTCATCGTCCATTCACGTCACGTAGTACCAAATTTGGCATATGTTAAGTGAACGAAATGACCGCGAGCGCATCATGAGCGTGGTATAATCATGTTCTTACATGACACGCATGTCATGATTATCATGTTGGCACCTTCGTCTTCGATTCCTGTCATATGGTTAGCTAGCGAAACAGCCGCGAGCTTACTAGTATATAGCATAGCATGTAATCATGTTTTACACCACACGCATGTCATCATTTCCATAATCGTACGTGTCACTTACAGCCTCTGTCTGTTCGCATTGCGTTTTTCAACAAGTTGCGTTTTTCAACACGTTGCGGGAAGAGTGTCAGCACCTGTCTATGTATATTCTTAAACCGTGCTTCGAAGTGGAAAAGGGGCGCTTTATTAGTGACCCTCCTTCTCCCGGCTTTGCACTGTTTCGTTTTATCTCCGGACCTTATCAGTAACATCAGGAAGACACTGCTTCGCTTGTCAGTTATTTTCATCTTGGCAGCCGTAAGTTAATAGCGGAAGCGGTGCTGATAGCTTTAGCGAGTTGCGTATCTATTCTCGCACTTAATTTCTATGAAAGCGTACGACTGGGTCACAAGCGATCACTCAGGACGTCACAATAATGTTTCGCCTGTGTTCGTTCAATGCCGGTGAAAAATCGCTCGTTTTTTTCTACTTAATTTAAGCGCCACCACTCACGTCGAACGGCAGCGCAACACTGATGTCATCAGCCAAACACGGTTTTCATCATTTATTGTTTAGATTTTATAGTGACACACTCACGTATGAAATACTTATCTATTTGTCGTACCAAAGCACGTTTGTAGGTCAGATTTACTTGGCTGATTATTGTTGCAGCTTTCTATTCCCAAATACACGGTATGGTTACGAGGAACGGTGTCCTGGAGGGATGTGTTAGTTTAGACCTCCCTTGGTTCTTTATGAAGTGCGCATAAGTATAAGCACAAAAGCCCCTAGCACTTTACCTTCGCGAAACCCGGTCATCGTGTCCATGATATGGTCTTCCTACATGTCAGTCTGTCAACAGTGGAACACGATAACCTTCACACCGCAGTGACTGGGCCTGATACACTTTCAACGCGATGGCGTTGAAGAGCTCGTTTCGCAGTGATTCTGGTGTTGCCGTCGTTGGTTTCGAGTGAAAAAAACATCACCCAATGCCTCACCAAAAATTATAACGTCTCAAATAAAATATACAAATGGTGAGAAAGCTCTAGAGCAGAGTGGGGACCAAACCATGATTGTTCGGGTCTAAGTGGGGATTAAACGCGGATCAATTGCGTGGCAAGCGGAAGCCCTACAACACAGCCACGTCGTGTAGGGCTTGTGAAAACAGTTAAGAGAAGTTTCTCTGCTTCATAATGAAGGGAAAGTAGCTTTCGTGCTTCATGAACATACCCGTCCTGTTTACAGGCAACATGAAACATTAAAGTAATAGTGCGCGGTACAAGCGTTCATTCCAAAAGGGCGTCAGACGCTGTGATTATAGTGATGGCTTCATGGTTGAAAGCCAGTACCCAACTGCAAATGGCACATACACTGCTGCGCCTATTCCTTTAGGCCACGTATAGTGGATGCATAGCTAATTCGAAAAGCTTTTATGCAATAAGTGTTTGAAATGCGAACTAGAGGAACGTGATGTCGCTATCGCATTCAACTCCTAAAGGTGAATCTTTAGGGTCCCCTCATTTTTGTTTATTGTCTATAATTATTAGGCAAAGCCCGGCAGAGGCCACATCTTCAGCAAATCATTGATTTTATTTGTGCACTGCTTTCAATAGGGTCAATTAAAAGCATGGGGCTACTGATGGGTATAACGCTTATGATACAAATTATTTCTGCCGGTGCATAACAGGCCCTAGATTCGTTTCAATTTTTGCAAAGCTGATTGGTTCATATTTTTTACTTGTCTTTTTGCTACAGCTAAGCTAAGAAAGACGTTCAAAGCAAGCTCTCTGAACCTTGGCGCCCTTATCTCGAATTCTGTAAAGTGTTACTAGCCTTGCGAAAAGCACTGTTTCTTTCGGTGTCTGCAAAGAACTGCCCTTATTTCTCCCACCGCGAAACCAAATACTTCGTATCTTTCATGGGTGACTTACCTCTCTATTCAGCAAATTTTCAGCAGGGAAATCTCTCCACTCAACGTCTTCTTCCAGGCAGTTTTGTCCATCAATCGGACAAACGTGTCCGTCAGCCACCTTGCACTGTTCGTAGCAGGAAGAACACGCTACGTGGCCGCATGGCAGAAGAGCGGTTGTCTTGCGTACCAGTCCGCATAGGCTGCAAAGCCTATTTTTGGGCAGGGCATTCACAAACTGCAGAGGATTCCAGTCTAAATCTTCCGTGAAGCCTACCAACGTGTACTGCTGGTTCGCAGGCACCATCTTCGGGGCAGTTGTGCGCGTCGAAGAATAGGCTCGTGCCGGGGGCGTTCCGCTCTAGCGAATTCTCTTCATTTCGATATGCCGCCCTTTCTTGTTTCCTCGATTAGCCGTCGCTACCCTCTCAGCAACATCTACTGCACCTAAACTTGCAGGGCGTATCGTGCCTTCCTTATCACCAATGTCGACGACTTGTGGTGCGGCGTATCAGAAACAAGCAAGCGTGATAAACGATACCCGATTACAGATGATTCTTTCGATTGTTTGTACCGTAAGGCACGTTAGCCGCTGTGATGGTCTGGTGTTTATCGTTCCCGAATGCTCAACGGAACATTGCGGGATCGAATCTCGTTCGCTTGCCTACATTTTATGGAGGCTTGAGGCCTGTGTTCTCGTATTCTTTAAGTCAACCCCTTCATTGTTTCCGGGTAGTACTATGTATAAACACCTTAAATACAATATTGATGGCAAATCACTCACAAAAATAGTTTAATTTGCTATCTGCATTAGCATTTAAGCACGTGCATTCTTTCCACTTCATAAGCTTTTCTCGCTTTACATTTCTTATATTAACAGCCATGAATCATACTACCTATCATCATGTCGTAACACGTACGCCATTCATCTCAAATCACTTCAGGGCCTTTAAAACCAGATGATAAAATCAATGACGGATAGCACATTGCATTCCTACTCTAAACCCATCTATCAACAGCTGCATACTTTATACCTATTCTACAGTGTTTTATCACAGATTGTTCCTTATTACATACCGTTTTATTCATCGTGAAATACCATTAAATAGTATTCCTATCGATGCCCTGGTCAACAACACAGGTTTCCAGAGTGCGATAACTTTCGTTTACCCAAAATAATATCGAACTATGAAAAATTGACAGCTCGCTTCTATGGTATACATCTGTAGAATTGCATACCCCTTCATGGTAAATCATTTCGGTCATTGCAATCTTCTAAACACAACACGAAAAGCATATTGGTAAATCAACCTTTTTTTTTGTCTGTAATAAATTTATCTTCATCCTTCCTTAACAGTTTGCTTGTTGTTGTTAGTTTTTTTACAATGCGGTTATGGTAAATATTTCTTTTTTCCTTTTTTTGCGTAGATTGTTGTGTTGGGACTGTACTTTTTTGTTGCCCCTTTTTGCTGTGGTTAACTTTTAAGGACGCCCCCTAATTATAGGCAGTCCCGCTAAAGTCTCGTACTTTAGGTCATCCCGATTGCGTATGCGGTAGATAACCCGTTTTTTTTTTGTACATGTAGTGATAATAAATAAACTGAAATTCAATAAACTTGAAATTTGAATAAACCAGTAGCACATATAATTGGGCTAGTTGGTATTGGTTCACCTTTTAACTGAATAATGGCACTCACACATACACAGACCTTATAACAAGAAAATGCACACAAAAAAAGCACCACTCACAACTAAAGGTTATTGGAACAAAAAGT